TATTTTTCTTTTTCCTGTTGTCAATCAGGCCTAGGCGAGGTTCAAACTTGCCACCCCTGGCATGTGGGGCCGACGTGCTAGCCACTGAGCTAGGGAGGCTCATACTAATGTTACATAATATTTTTAAGAGTATTAGTTAAGGTTTTATTCATATTACATATCTTTGAAGTTAGCAGAGCTGGTACCATTCAATTGTCAGATGAGAAACGAGAGGTTCAGGGGAATGCCTAAAGAATTCTCTTTCTTCCAATCTAGGCCGTCCTCAAATTATATGACGAGGTCCTAGAATTTTCTAAATTTAATGCACTTTACTGATTTTTTTTTCCTTCAGCAGTAGAAACCAAATCCATTTCTAAGTAGCCATTCAATGAGACTCAGAATAGTTGTCATGATATGTGAGTAGTGAACGAGCTTGTAGCTAACTTTTATTTCCATAAGTCCAGGACTCAGAGACTAGTCAAGAGAACAATGAATTGAAGAGTTAAAAACAAGGCTTGGGGGGATAGTTCTTTACTTCCTAGCGGTGAGAGTGTGGCCAACCGCTTAATCCTCCAGGCTTATTTTCTCAGCTAAAAATCTGCAAGGTGGGTCTTGCGAAGATGAAACGAAATAGTGGCTGGGAAAGCCCTCTGTAAAGCATCAGGCAATACACAAATGAAGAAACAGCAAACCGAAAGCTCTGAGCTGGAATAGCTCTGCTCACAAGGAAAAAAGCAATTGTGGAGATCAAAACTACAAACAAGCTCTGTGACCAGAAAAATATCCCCAAGCACACGCTCTTCACAGATATTTCCAACCAGTATGTCTGTTCTGACCAAAAGAATTTCATTAAATAAATAGCTGTTTTTGGAGAGCCAATTATCTAGTGGGTTTAAGCGCCAGGCCCTGCCATAGAGTGTTGAACAAGATAAACACAGACCCTGCTTTGTGAAAATTACTCCCGTAGGACACCATTTAGTGGTTGAGTTCGCAGTGATTCACGTCTCCCCAGTGTTGTGTGTTATTACAGCGCGGGCTGTGGGCAGCAGTTTATGGAGATCTACCCCCATGTTCCCTGCAAGCGGCTGACCCAGGGAGCTGCGGCTCAGTGTCCTGGCAACAGGCATGTCATTGCACCCAAGTCAGATTCCAGGAACTGTTCCTCTTAGATGCTAAGGGAGTGATTTTGAAACAAAGCGCACTTTGCTCCTCTGGGTTTTATTACATTCTCAGACACTATCAGCATCTTATTTCAAATTTATCAGGCTGTGATGGCAATTTGGTTTCATTATGCATTTTTTTTTTCTGTGATGTGAAGCATTAGTTATTCATTAAGCATTTTTTCAGGGAAGCTTAAAAATACTGTAATCTCTGCAGAAACAATTACCATACACATGAATGTTGCATAGAATTTCCAGATGGGTGGAGGAATACAGACTCCCATGTCCATTTATAGATGCTTAAACGGGATTCTAGATTAAGAACCTATTTACACAGCAAGACAAGTTATTATTCCCACTTTCCAGATGGAAAAATAGAAGAGCTAAGAGACTATCTGATGTCCATGTAGAAAAGAAGACAAGGTGAATGAAAACTGAGAGAAGCATGTCTTTTGGAATCATCTCATCAAGGGGTCTTCCACTCCATTTGCATTTTATGGCTCCTATTTTACATATATAACATAATGAAAATGGTTATGGTACCAGATTGCTACAATTAAGCCATTAAAATTATAAGGCAAGAATGTGACTTTTCCTAGTCTTCTTTACTGTTACGATGTTGAGAACATGCTTTCAAAATCTGGGCCAGGCACAGTGGCTCTGCCTATAATGCCAGCTATTTGGGAGGCCAAGGGGGGAGAACTGCTTGAGGCCAGGAATTCAAGACCAGCCAGGGCAACACAGTGAGATCCCATCTTTATTAAAAAAGAAAAAAAGGTGGGCAGTGCCTGTGGCTCAGTGGGTAGGGGCCAGTCACATATACCAAGGGTGGTGGGTTCAAACCCGGCTCCTGGCCAAACTGCAACAAGAAATAGCCAGGTGCTGTGGTGGGTGCCTGTGGTCCCAGCTACTCGGGAGGCTGAAGCCAGAGAATCACCTAAGCCCAGGAGTTAGAGGTTGCTGCGAGCTGAGGGCGATAGAGTGAGACTCTTCCTTTACAAAAGAGACTCTGTCTCTCCAAAAAAAAAAAAGAAAGAAAGAAAAAAAGTGCTCGGTACCCATTGCTCAGTGGTTAGGGCTTCAGCAACATATACCAGAGCTGGCAGGTTGGAACCCAGGGCAGGCCTGCTAAACAATGATGACAACTATAACAAAAAATAGCTGGGCATTGTGGCAGGCACCTGTAGTCCCAGCTACTTGGGAGGCTGAGGCAAGAGAATCTTTAAGCCCAAGAGTTTGAGGTTGCTGTGAGCTGTGATGCCATAGGACTCTACTGAGGGCAACATAGTGAGACTCTGTCTAAAAAAAAAAAAAAGACAAAATTCACATAGTCCCCATTCCTCTGCTTCTTTAGAAATTGCAGTCATAGGCAAAACTGAGTATGCACATTTCCCACAATCAGTACTTCATTTTGTGTTTTATGTTGTATTTTGTATTTCTTTCTTTGTGTCTAATGGAAGATCTCTCATTTACTATTTTCACAAAGTATTGTGATTGTGATCTGTCTGCCCTCCTTGAGGGCTGGGGCAGATCCTGAAACTACAGCCCCCAAGTGCCTTCCAAAGTCCCTGGCAAAAAAGAGGCGATTAATAAATGCTTGTTACATGAAGGAACAAACGATGGAATTCCGGAGTTGGCTGTTTTCCACCTGCGTATCTCCCGTTCCTAGCCCACAATACATAGCAGAAGCCAGTGACTCCTCCGGTGCTTGTGGAGGGAATGATAATCTTTGCACAGCAGTGAGCACATCAGCAACTTGCCTCTGCCCCTTCTCAACACACGCCCCACAGGTCTGCACCCACAGCTGGCCCTGGGTAAAGACTTTTTGACTGATTATAATTTTCACACTCCTTCTGAGCAATTGATTCCTTGTTTTAATACTCTCCAAGGGGGGTTTCCATTTCATCATTTTCCATAATTGATTATGTGATATTTTATATTATCTTGAAATTGGTGAGTGTGCATCTTCATGGTGCTTTGTATGACACAGTTTTATGCAGCTCTATGAATTTAAAAGGCAGGGTAAACATGTCGGCCAACTTGTTTCCTATGTCTAGATGAGAAACGATGGCACATTTGAAGTGGTTTTTTCTTTTTTTATTAAGACAGCGTTGTAAGGGAGAGTATAAGACAGAGAGATTGGGAGAAAATGACTTCTTTTGAGTAAATTCTCCAGGTATTAGTGCTTTCAACTAACGATTCAGGGTGGCATATGGATGTATCAAAACTTCTCACTGGCAATTAGCAGTATCACCTCCTATAATCCTGTGTTATCAGCAGTCGTAAAAGGAAGGACTTATCTCAGAAACCTAGTTACTCATCAAAGAAACTATTTATGTTGATATTATAGGTGAGAGTGTAAAGGAACACAAGCCTCATATTGTTACGAAGCACAACTTCCTACAACCCAGAATGTTAATCATTAGAAACGGGTGCTTTTTCCTAAGAAGAATGAATCAGGTAAACAACTAGAAGAAAAAAGGCATAGATCTTTCTCAAGCCCACATTTAACTTACCGAAAACCTTTTTTGTTTCCTTCCCTCTACCTTTTAATACTCCAGTAAGTGAGTTGTTATTTCACTTTCCCTCTTTCAGAGGCCTTTTTACAATTGACATCATGAATCATTGTACTGATGATTTA